TAAGCCACAGCAAGCACTTAACCGAAACTAGTGAGCGATGTTTTGTTCAGATATGAACAGACAACCAGACAACACAGCAATACAATGTAAAGCAAATATCTGATGAACCTGTCTAGTAATACCACGTCCCATCTAGCACAAACTTGGGAACTCAAATCCTCATTTAAATGCAACCCGAATATTCTAGCTCCTTGAACAGGCCGTGAGGCAATAGGATGCGGGAGGGAAAAAATTAAAGTTTGAAATCGAACGCAAGACTACTTACAAAAGGCAATACGTCAAAATTAATGGAGCTGAGCCCTTCTCGAGAAACCGAGTTGCTCAGCTGGTCATAAAAGTCCACGTTTTACGGGCCCCGAAGGTGCTCATGGGAGTCAAACGTTGTCTTTATCCCGAGTTGAAAAAACAACGAAAGAATATTTTAATCCGTTATTCTGATTGTGCTAAAGATTCCCCCCCCCCGCCAAGTCCGGTGCTCCGTTTAACATTTCGTATTAAAGATTTCCACCCTTTGGTTAGCGACCCCCCTCCCTCTCATGGTTGGGGACAATGCCTTGTTACCCGTCCTCAACATTTTAGTCAACATATTTGCAGATATCCTCTACATCTGAGGACAATTTTCCTCCACCCCGACACCCCAAGACGTGTTATTCAGCCCTGTCAAATATGCTATGACTATCAACAGCGAACATTCTCCCGATTCATAAACTGCACTGAAATAATCAACTTACTCACATTACGCCACTGAATTTTACTTTTATAGCGGTGGCAAGGTAATGAACACCGTTGCTTTTGCACTCTACAATTTATGCTCACCTACCGACCAGCTTGGAAACGGGGCACACTGGTACTTATACGATTTTATCACCGCTTGTGGACCAGTACCCTTTTTGGTTTTGGGAACGGGAATGTTACTCGAAACAGTTCTGACACTGGATGGGGAAGGGGCGGGACAATAATTTATAGCCTCAGCGACTTCCGCAAATATACTGAACTTGTTTACGAAGAACTCTGGCTCGCCTTCTCCGAGATGCCTGGAGTCTCGCTCAGACAAGACATGGCTGATGGCCAAAGCAGAGAGGGCATGACAGTTACTTAACGTGTTGGGATATGTACAAATTTAGGAATATACAACGATGTAAACAGAGTTCTCTTCCATCACACATCAGTGTGACGTCATAGAATACAACACTGCTGATCCAGTTTTTAGACCTCGGCAATCGGATTGCATGTAAGATACTCCAATGTCCTGGAAATTATATGGGCAGTTCTTTGTAAGAAATTTTAAAACCGACTAATTGTACTACACCACTGCTTCCATAACTTGTTCCCAATCTTTATAATTCTTCCTTACAATTAATCATGCTGTCATTACACACGCCTGATTTATTTACCTCGTATTTATATGTCAAGTTGTAACCTCCTACATAAAATCAGCCTTTGACGGTATTAATTACTCTGCGACCTTCGATATGTCTGTTCAAATGCAAACCGTACTATCTTCTGTGATGTGACACCATGTATTCTGGCAGAAGAATACAAAACATCACATCCTGGAAAACAGAACTGTTCACAGTAACTGCCAAGAGAGTCAAGGCTCTCGAAACAACAGAACACAGCAACAGTTTTTATACGTTTCAAAGATGGGTAAGGCACATCCAACAAATTCAGTCCTGATGAACACCCCTATCTTTGAATGATAACTGAAACACGTTTTGCATTCAGTTCCAGGGAGAAAACACATTTTTCTACCTTCCATCTTCTATTACCATAACAAAATTAAACATTCTTTTATAATAATTATCAGAAGTTAATTTCCCAAAACTTATGCCTCACATTATTGCAATCTGTTTTTAATAATGCATGCATGTATCAAAATGATGTATTCTGCATATTCCCAGTACAAAGAATAATGGAATACGAATTTCACTTGCCAGTGATTAACTTCAAAGCAATTTTGAATACAACCTATGCCTAAAATATGGTTGGGTTAGTTATCTTAGTGTCTATTACACCAGCACTTCAGGAACCAGAAAAAACGCTCTGACCAGGCATTACAACACATACTATATAAGAAGCAGATACATGTGTAAGTGCTAGCGCACTAGCTTGAGTGTTTTACACACTTCTTACAGTGCACTGTGCCTGGCTCTGCAACTTGTTCTGGACACTGTGAACATGGATATGTGCCACTGTTTCACAAAAGAAAGAGGCAAGGATAATGGAAGTATGGGAGGCTTGCCTGCATTTCCACCTTCATACATTTCTTGAAGGAGAATGTCATGTAACTTGTGATACCCAAGCATTTATTCATTATCACCACTGATACATGGAATGCGGTACAGGAATCCTCTCTTACCTCTGAAGTAGCTGGTATGGCTTAACATTATTCCTTGGAGCAGGATGTAATATAACAGGAAACTTCAGTATTAGCACGACATGCCTGCAGCTCACCATCCGTATGTCCATTTTCTCTTCAGATGGGAAAGTTATAGATGAGAACCCATAACTTAGCTAAAGGACCAATACTTCCATAATGACAAACATGACAAATGTATGTACACTTGGGTCGGAAAAAGAATAAACATCGATTTTACATACCAGTCTGCCTAGCAACTACTACCTTTACACACCCCCATTAGCTGTGACTTATATTCTCTCTCTCTCTCTTTGCTACTGGTATTCCCGGGTAGGGAATAATGTGCAATTAGGTAACATGGGGAACCTGCTGGTCAGCTTAGTCCCAGTACTCATGGTCATTCTTTGCCTGACTCCAGTATAGCATCACACATTCTTGTGAATCTAAAGTACAACTGACAAGCCTGAGTTTGAATCAGCTTCCACAATAAAAGTTCTTGAAAAATTCATACATCAATTTTCTTTCAATACCATAAACTGCTGCAACATCTTCACTGGTTTGAGCCAGACTTGAACATCCTTGGTGATCTCTCTCTGTGAACTGTTATTCGGTATTTTTTCTCTGTCAACGTTCACAATGAGAACTCAGTTTCGACATGACTAAGCCTGTCACAAAATATTTCCCTTAAAAATCATTCCACAACTCGCAGGTTCCAATACAGGTAACTCTTGCATCACTGGAGTATCTGTGGTGTTTAAATTTGGAAGCATTCGAACTCCAACCGGTTCAAGTATTACAGGAATACCATTCATCTTATCACAGAAGAGAACTGCATGTAACCTGAAATCTTGACTTTACAACTCTAGTATTTCATTCACAAGCACACCGAAATGTCTCAGTATACATCAGCATAATTTGTGCAGATGTTTAGAATTTATCTGACATGCTGCACATAAGAAAGCCACAATTTCAGTTAAGCAGCTACAATGTTATAACCTTTCTGAAGTTACAAACATCAAGTTGCTCATATTTAAGGCTCTCAATTTTGAGGTTGGTAATTTTCTTGAGCTTAAGTCTGTAGAAATGTTTTGAAGAACAAATTACTGCACCTAAAGCTTTAATGAAAAAGGAACAACTGTTTCAGCACCAAATGAAATCCCAACATGCATATGAATAGAAGTAAAGCAACCTGCACAACAGTTCCAGCTAATATCATATTAAGGTTCCTCCTCATACAAGGAACTATAAACAATAAATTTGTTTTACATTTGAATATGCAGCTTTTGCTGTTTCATGAGGCAGTGTGCAAGTGATTTGGCATTAGCACTGAAAATTATTTGATAAACATGCACTATGTTTACAGTGAACTTTCATACACACAGAGAAGCGCCTCATATCCTAAGAGTTCAGTGACGAGATCTAGAAACTAGTACAGTAGAAATATAACACTTAAATGCCAGAACAACAATAACAATCATGGTTACCATCCGCTGATGGCTACTGCATTATTTTGTGCCATGACAACACAGCAGTACCATTTATAGAACAAAACGATAAAAGATACAAACCATTAGAAGAAAGCTGAAAACAAAAAATCAAAATTGCACCCCCNATTTCATCCTGAAACATAATGATTCTTCTAGGAAACACTTCTCCTTAAGGAACTAACTGAAAGTAGTTCCTATGCAAAATCAGCAATCTATTCACAAGCCCAACACAAGAAACATGATATACAATACCTGTATGGAGTCACAAGTTGAGTATAGCATCTTGTTTCAGCAATGCACCTCTCCTAAACCAATTACTGAGAGAACTTGTACCATATCACCCCCTCCCCCCAAATAGAAACTGTCATTTCTCTTTGAATGAATACAAGTCCTTCAAGTAGTAATTGATTTAACTACCAATATGTACTGCTGACTGGGAAAGAATGTTAGTGAAGGGGCATGGTTTATACAAAATAAATATACAGAGCAATATAGAAGAAGCAGAGTCGCTCCTTTGTCAAGAACTTCAGCGTAACTTGCAGCACCTCCCACTGGTCTGAAAACTGAAATTGAAACAATTTTAACAAATATCCAATGAATGTAATTGTAACAAACTTGTGAGCACCTCATGTTTAATACCTTCAGTTCAGAATCACCCAGTTAGACATGTATAGACACTCTCATTATCTGTGCATGGTTTTATAACATGAAAGTCAAATGACAAATAATTCTGCAGAAATATGATCTCATTTATCAATCTACTCAATCTGTTATGCAAGTATATGCAAATTTTAAGCACGGTCCTACATCATTAAACATGAAGAAAACCTTCTATCAGTAAGGCTGAAATCATGAGTTGCTCACAATACATTAAAACAATATAAAAATTATTCTTATGCATACATATTTAAATATACATAACCTAAGTAACCTATATAACTTAGTTAACTGTATCATGTATGCAATTTTACTGCAACCTATTCTCCTCAACTTAAGATAATTTATTAGCTCAAAACCAGAATTATATCGATTTATCTCAAAAAAATTCCAAGACATGTTTCATACTGCTGAAAGACTTAATTTGTATCAAACTGTCAATGTACTAGAACACCCCAACCCTACAACTTCCCTCCACCAATTTCACCCATACTTACGTTTTGGTCTGGGAGGAATTAATTTTATGCTCCCACTCTTGTCATTCTTCTTTGTGTCATCAGTGGCCATGTCAGCAATTGCAGGCTTCAGCTTTTTTTCTGGGGGCGCTGACAGTTCTTTGGGAGGGGACGGACGTTTTAGGGACGGAAGTCTAACAGGTTTCTTATTCACTGGCATAATGTTCTTCTTGACTGGTCGTGATGGTGGTGGCTTCGCTTCCTCTTCCAGTCCAGTTGAACGAAATTTGGAGTTGAAAGTCTTCACAGTCTTGGGGCGGGCTGAGTCAGTAGATTTCCTTGACTCAATGGATATTGAAGGCTTCCTGCTGGTAGGTTCAGAAACTGGGGACTTTTTCAAATCACTAGAAGAGGGCTTTTTAACATCCACATTAGGACTTTGGGGCTCCTCAGGTCTGGGTTTCTTTGGTATTTTCCCCAATTTGCTTATTCCAGGTGGAATTAGCTTTGCCAAAGCCGCTCTATCCTTTTCAAACTGAGCATTAACTTTCTCACTATTTTGTTTCCTGTCCTTAACTTTACTTTCCCTATCTTTGGCGTCCCTTTCCTTACTGCTCTCCTTATCTTTTGATTTATCTTTACTCCTCTCTTTTGAACCTTCTCTCTCTTTGCTTTTTTCTTTGCTGGATTCAGTTTTTGTCCTTTTCAGTTTATCAGAAGTTCTGGTACTCAACTGAGCTTCTTTAACTTTCTTCTGAAAGTCTTTAGTTAATTTTATTCCTTCAGCACTGTTTTCCAACTTTTCCGATTTTACCTTTTCTTTCACTACAGAATCTTTACTACGGTCTACACTCACTTTCACAGATGCTTCATCCATATCTTTCTTTATAACTTCCTTTTTAACTGTATCATCTGCCTTTTCCACACTAGCACCGACCTTCAAAAGAGATTTTCCAACGTCTGTAACTGAAGCTACACTTGAACCATCCATACTCAACTTCCTGGTGGACTTCTCCCCTGAGAACACTTTAGCTATTACTTGCTTTCCATCTCGAATTGTAATTTTATATACTGGCAACTGTCCAAGGGGAGCATCCCAGGTAACCTCTTCACCTGATTCATCTGAACCATTTTCAGTCTTTACAACAAGTTTATTTACATCTATTTTATCCTCTGAGTTTACTGCTTCTATCTGCACTACAGTTTCCTGTTTCAGTGCCGGTGGAGGAACTTCTACCTTACACTCCTCACCACAACTGCTAGCTTGCAATCTCTCACTGCATACACCTAGCTGCTTTCCTTCATCTTTAACAGAAACACATTCTCCTGCAGGCACATCCATACTTGCTATGTGATGTGCTCTTACCGCCTCTGTTTCTCCCTTGACTATCTTTAACCACTGCTCCACCAACTTACTTGCGAGTAACTTAACACCTGTAAATAGCATAAAAATAACCACATTACAAACTGCAGTTCACCATGAAAGCCTTATGGCACAATATATCAGCTCAACATTCAAACATTCCAACTGTTTACACCATGTTCACTACAAGATATCATTTACATACTAAAATGGCTCTGAATTATTCACATGGGATAAGTGGCCTGGATAATAAAAAATCTGAAAATGCACACAGCCCATGTTAGGGATATATGAATAATGGTTTATTGCACATTTAACCCTGAAAACCCAATGACTTACTGGTACGCTACTGGTCACTAAACAGCAACAAAAAATCATATACAAGAGGGCAACCATTGCTCAGTGGTACAGTCAGGGCGGTGCACGGAATGATCCCCAATTTATAATTTTCACAGTTACTGCAAAATCATATCATCATGATACAGATCCACGGTATGATCTATTCTTAGCAGTGTACATGTCCAGTATGGTTACCATTTTGCCATACAACTTATAAAAGATGAACGTGTATAACTGTAACCATGTGGCAGCACATGTTTTCTGTAATATCTTAATACAGCTCAGCACCAGGATAGCATGGCCCTAAGTTCCATCAGCGAGACTTGCTTTTACATAAACAGTTTTTCATTCATGAATCCCAAAAGTTGGAAGGCATAGGGATTAATGTCTATGCTCTTGGGTGGCCAGATCCTTCCAGGTGTATGGCAATTAGGATACCAATCAAAAGTCACATTTGAACAAAGGACATCACCAAGTCCGATAAAATGTTCGCAGCAGGGAACCATCCTGAATAAACCACTGTGTTCATTACTAGACCAGGTGCAACAAGATGAGGCCCAGAACTGTGACAGGGCGGTAGGCATCTACTTCTGCATCACTAACAAACTTACTAGAAGTTTTCTGTCCCATTTGCCTGATTCTTGGGGGATGTAAATATTAATTAAAATTATAAGGAGGCTTTACTATGTTAAATGGCATGAGAACATTTTCGCTCTAAAACCAAATTGTCTAGTACGCCGGTGGGTAACATTTTTTTAAGACAGAACCAAATGCTTCATGAAAAGAGCACAGAAAATTTATGTTGTAACACGACTTTACTTGACAATCAATCTAACACTGCTGTCTTTATATTTGGCACTATACAACCTTTTCATACCAAAATGGTAATAAAATGCCTCCAAGTGTATCTACTTGAAGTAGCATTCAACCGCATGATCTAACTTCTTCATAACAAAGGTGTCCTTTCACAACCAAAAAACTGAGGACCATTTTGTGTGCCATGCTATACTAGGAAGGTGCAACGAATACATTAGAACAACAGAAATCAACACCAAGGTGAGATAAAAAACCTCATCAATACATATTACTGGAATCTATGATCGATAAACTATTGGGTTCTAAAAGCCCAGTAGTTCATCTGAAAACAGATAACTGAAGAGTCTACTATAACTGCAATACATACTATATGTGATACCTACTTTCATTGTTGCTTTCCTTTGAAAGTCCTTTTATAAGTTTTGGGCAATTGTTCGTCTTTAATCTTTCCACATCAACTGGGCACATCAGCAGTAACTCCAACAATTCCTGTATAAGAGGCCAGTTTCTGGCCATTATGGCATCTGATAACCACGTATGCGTCAGATTCCAGCCTCCAGCAGCCATGAACCTGAAATGTACTCTCGATATCAGTAAAATATTCTTCATACTAACAAATTACCTCTACCTTGTCTAAAATCAGTTTCTAGAATGTCGTGGAACTCCAAATTTGAATGCATGTGAGTAAACACATGGCACAAAAAGGGAAATCCAAACACAGGGAGCAAAAGGAATACCTACATTCATAATTATAAACTTACATAAAAAATGAAATTGCAGACAGAAATTACAAAGTAAATGATTTATTTTAATTTAAGAATAGCTTTCCCCTTATGCTAATATCTATCAGTTCAAGGTACTTACATGCCTAAAAGATCAGTTTTCGTTGTTTTTAATATCTGTATGTAGATACACTTGCTTACTAGTTTCTTCGAAAATTTTGTCATTAAGCTGTAAAGAAAAAGAAACATACATAATTTACATACATCAAACACTTTTAAAAAAATTACAGAAACATAATATTTTTAAGTTATCATTGATGTTAAGGCACAATAAAAGAACATTATTACTATTATTATTATAATGTTTCTGTGTGTTTTGTGATTGTCAGCGTTAACGAAAATTAGTGTCTAATACAAATAAATTATTCAATCTGGTATAAGACTACACAAAACTGCCTGGGGATAAAAACATGAACTTTGGTAATGAAGAATGGGATATAAAAAATGAATGTGCCTGCAACCGAGGGCACAAAATACACATGACGGCACAAAAATCGAATTATGGAGCGAGAAAAAAAAAAGCTGCTGTAGCCTAGAAATGGGTGTTTCTCCTCGCTCAAGAATTCAGTCTTTGAGCCCTCACATGCGAGTACATTATTCCCTTAGCTGCAGGCACAAAAATGTGATCTTGGGCCCCAGAAGGGTCTTGACACCAAGACTAACCGACCGTCGGTCGTAATGTGACTGCGACTTTGACTTTCGACAGCAAGTGGGAGAGCCGGGGATAGCCAGTGAATGACAAGTCACAGTGGAGAAGAGAGGCTGTTTAAGTTCTTGTAGCCAACAATGGACGTTTCTTTCTCCAGAATTCGGTTTTTGAGTTTTCCTGTCAAATCAATACAATAAGCCCTGTTTACACCCCCAATATGGTAATGTCCCATGGCACGATAATTTATATTGTGTGCGCTACATATTTTTCTGACTGTATTGCAACATTCCTTGAAGTACTCTAGTCCGTAGTCCACTACGATCAGGCTGTATCTTTCTGAAAATAACACTTAAAAGTTCATGACAGTGGTATATTAACATAATTATTGAGCTTAAGTACATCAACCTGTTTTATTTTAAAACAACTTTTCAGAGACTGGACTCTGCCTCCACCCTCAGGTAATAAGCCCACTCAGGTGGGCCCATAGACCGCAATAGTATGTATCTCCATGATCGATAATGACCAAACATTCTGTATTTATTTTTATGGTTTCTCTGAACATGGGATTTTCAGCAAAATTTAATGAGCACCCTTTTTACGTACCTGACGATATACTTTAAATTTCATTCCATGCATTTCAGCCATGGCACGAATACTGTATATCTATATAACAGCAAAACAAAAAACAAGACGAACTCCGTGGCTTTAGTCCGCAAGCGAACTATACCGACCGAGCGACCGCCACTTGTCGGTGCCAACTTTAGCGGATTGAGGGTGTCGCGTGGTCAGCGCAACGAATCCCCACGATCGTTAATTTCGGTTTTCTAGACCGGAGCCGCTACATTTCCATTCAAGTACCTCGTCAATTATCCTCACGAGGCTGAGTAGACTCCGTTCCAGAACCAGCACTTTTCAGAAAATATGGTAGAGCCGGGAATCGAACCCGGGACCCCTGGATCTGTAACCAGGAGCTCAGACCACAGAGGAGTTCCATCATAACAGCAAGGATTCCAAAATTTGATATATGTAAATTTAACTTATAACGTGGGAACTGACGCTGTTGCTTGACGCCCGCTTTATACCGAAGGTCTAATTACTAAGAAAATAAGACAGTTCTAAGGATAAATACAGTAGAACTTGGTTATAACGTCATCAAAGGGACCTAAAAATATTGTCGTTATAAACGAATGTCGTTGTAACCGAAATGGACACTTCCACAGTAGCCTTATGTTAGTCACGTAAAAATCTACCAAAAACCGAGTTAAAATGTTGCATTTTTTAGTGAAATACGTAGTTAAGTACAGACTAACGTAACATTAACGTGTAATTGCCCAAATGTGTAATATCAAAGACATATTACAGCGCTTTTCACTAACAATACACACAATATTTCACGAATCACTTTAACTTTCTCTTCAATGCTTAAAACTTTCCTTTTCATTGCCATATTTTCGCTACTGCACTTCTCTGGGTTTAGGCAGGAACACTATAGGGTAAGTAGACAATGTGAGGTCCTGTTAGACGAGATTCTAGGAAAGGAATGCAGTTAACAACCTGCCGCGTCCTCTTGCACTATTCACGCAGTCCCACTCCACACCCTTGTTTTCGCATAAAACCCACGCTCCTCTTGCAGCCCGCGGTCGTATTCTTCCAGGACAGTCACGTCAGCAAGTAGAGAAAGTGAGGGTGGGCAGACACATCGAACTTTCCCACGATATCAGAGAAATTCAGGAATGAAAATGACGTTACATACGAGGTTGATTCATTTGTGCATGTCGTACTAAGCAAGGTATAAAAACAGTTGCTTTATGAGGAATTAGTTCGTACCATTGAATATTTGACGCAATAGACAAGGTGTCGCAGAAACCGATGTTGCTATAACCAAGTTTTACTGTATATAAACTCCTCCAGTTACATAGACTTGACAAAACCTATAATGTGGAGAAATGCCAGATGTGTGGTATACTATGGAAACCGTCTCCAAGAACGTTGTGTGGTGTGGCATGAAGATATGAAAGACATTGTTCATCGTAACTTTACGAGGCTGCTAAGGAGACAATGAAGCAGGAAACCCAGTTTGGAATACCTGAGTCAGTATCCAGATCGGTGGCAACCCAACAGCCATATGTTGCAAAGGAAACCACAGTATGAGGACAACATGTGCACTCATGCCGTCATTACCCATACGTTGGCCGCATCAGACGCAATATACAGAATGAAGAGAAAGTGATAAATAATGAATAGGAATCTCTATCAACTAGCACTTCATCATGTCGCATGTATATACAGACCTCTCGCTGGGCGAAATTTGGCATACAATGTACGTGTATAGGGAGCAACTGTAACCTTTTTTTAACGCTGAAGCAGTTAACTTACGCGAGGGCACAAACGGAATGAAACCGTTAGTAACAGAACTGTTACGTAAGTAACGAAATCTGTAACAATTTGTAATTATTGGTACATTTCTAGGCAACGGCAATTTAACTCGTTACCACGTCAATGAATCAACAGGGAATATAGGAAACGTAATAACCATGGAAACGATGTTTCCAAGTAACATATTGTCATGAGACCCGGCAGACAGACTGACCGTCAGTCGCAACGTGACTTTGACTTGGTGATAAATGCCTTCGCAATATTGGGCAAGGAGAAGCCCGAAACAGAAAGTATTAGAGGCTTAAACTTGGCGGCGGTCAAGCATACGAACCGTTCAAGCGACTACACTGCTGTTATAGCAGAAGTTACTAGAAAGTGGACATAATCTACTGTACTGAGCCCGGACTGACAGAGACCCTGTATATATTTTATATACATTAACATGTTTAACATGTAAACTGTAAATATCCTTTATATTATGACAAATGACTTACTGCTACAGACTATGACTATGACAAAAGACAGACCCGTCCTTTCGTCAGACAGGGTAGCCCACACTGGGCTCGACACCAAGACTGACTGACTGACCGACTGACCGTCAGTCGCAATGTGACTTTGGTAATAAATGCGATGTATAGGGCTAACTCAATTCCACATTTTAGTGTATGACGCAATGCTATAGGCAAGCTGGCAGCGTATGTCACGCACTTAAGATGTCCGCTGGTAATGGTTGTGCTGCATACATGATGTTCCAGGAGGAATGTGCCAGGCTTCGGGAGGGTGTTCCGTATGTTAAAGTATGACGCAATGCTATAGGCAAGCTGGCAGCGTATGTCACGCACTTAAGATGTCCGCTGGTAATGGTTGTGCTGCATACATGATGTTCCAGGAGGAATGTGCCAGGCTTCGGGAGGGTGTTCCGTATGTTAAAGTATGACGCAATGCTATAGGCAAGCTGGCAGCGTATGTCACGCACTTAAGATGTCCGCTGGTAATGGTTGTGCTGCATACATGATGTCCCAGGAGGAATGTGCCAGACTTCGGGAGGGTGTTCCGTATGTTAAAGTATGCCGATATAACCCAAAACACCTATGTCCAAAGTTGAACGGTTACGGAGATAATGGCCCGAGAAAAGTGTGGTCTTCTGGCGGGTCCACGCACTGTACCTGTCAGCTGAGAAGTCTTATCTGTTTGTCCTTGAGTGTGGTGATTCACACAAGCCGTAAGCTTATGTGCTACCTTCAGGGTACGTTGCGGCCGAGTTGTGAATGGATGGTAAATTAGTTCTGCGGAGTTGCTGAAATGCCTTTTGTGTTTTCACACGTAGAATTTTGTGATATGCATTTTGTGTATGGAATTTGCATTGGCAATGCACGTGCTGCTGTTGAAGAATGCCACTGGATCGACGGATTCCATCTCGAAGTGTATTTACGCGAATTCACCAGACATTGCGTGATACTGGTTCTCTTTCGAGTGTTTCTGTGCACTCTGAAAGGGAGGATGTACGAATGATAAACACACGAGAGAACATTCTTGAGATGGTTCAGAGAAGTCCGCGTCTTTCCACTCGTAGAATGGCCTCTCGCATCGGCATATCACGTATGCAGGTGTGGCGAACTTTACATGATGAAGAGTTGTATCCTTACCATGATCAAAGGGTTCAACATCTGGAACCAGGCGACCACGCTCAGCGTATGGATTTCTGCCACTGGACAAAAGCTCATACCGAACTGTTAAGCGTCATTTTATTCAGTGAGGAGGCGTCTTTTATCCTGGACGGTGTAAATAATTTAAGAAATGTGCATACGTGGTCCAATAATAATCCACATGAGATAATGGTAATGAAATTCCAAAAGAGATTTTCTGTGAATGTATGGTGTGGTGTGCTTGGGAACAGGTTGTTAGGACCTTTTGTGTTTCACAAAAATTTAACTGGAAAGACGTATGAAGCCTTCCTGAGGAGTGAGTTACCATGTTTGTTGGAAGACATTGTAGATGGCGGAGGACACTTGCAACACCTGCCAAAGTTTCACACTTCTCTGGCCATTATCTCCGTAACGGTCCAACTTTGGACATAGGTATATCGGCATACTTTAACATAAGGAACATCCTCCCGAAGTCTGGCACATTTCTCCTGGGACACC